AGAATCTAATGTTTTTACTTGATTGTTTGTGCCAATGTTGTATGACATAAAATCCTAATTCAGCCATGAGAAAACTTTGTAAATCAAGACTGCCATGTTTACTATTGTACACGTCATTAGCATGCTATTTCAGAAAAATTGTAATGTTTGGTATGTATGTCAACACATTATAGACACGGGATATTATGTAACAGATGTTACACCCTCTAGTCGAAAGTTGTTTGGTATGTTTGCGTATTGTGGCATCAACTTGTTATAGACACAGGATATAATGTAACAGATGTAACACCTTGTAGTTGAAAGTTGTTTGGTATGTTTGCGTATTGTGGCATCAACTTGTTATAGACACAGGATATTATGTAACAGATTTTAACACAAAGTACCCTTTGTAAACAAGTTGTAATATGAGGTAGGATCACTACACGTGTTTAGGTGAAAAAGTATGGTTTCTTTCTTAGTTCGTTCTAAAATAAGTTAACCTTATAACTTCCAATTCAGAGCTTGAAGAAGCTAAATTAGGAAACAACACTGTAGGCCTATATACTGTTAATTACAAAACAACACTGTAGGCCTATATACTGTTAATTATGAAACATCACTACAGGCCTTTATACTGTTAATTATCTGTAAAGTTTTGCCGGTCAGTACAGTGAAATAGTTTGGGAACCACTGATATACATCATATTTGGTAGAGACAAATAGGATCTAATTTGTTTGGACTTAAGTGACAAACATGATGAAGTGTGGATTTCCTGTTGAAGATATTTTCGAGACTGGATGTCGGCCTGTAATATAATATTACATTATTAGTTTTAAGGAATGGTGAAAATAATTATAGAAACAAATACAAGTGTTTATTAATGGTACAGTACACTAGGTATTAGCCCCCATACCTCCATGTATTTTATCACATTCATTGTACACTTCCTGATGAATTAAAATGTACCTGTCAGCAGACAGTGTGTTATCAATTTTGTGTAGACCACCAACTTTTTTTGTTTGTATTGTGACTGTTATACCTATTCACAATTATTTCTGGTAATTAACAATAATAGAATAAATAAACTTACTAGATCAGATGTGTGATTAACATTAGTGATCATCCAATAGTAAAGTACATTAACTATAGACTGATGGAGATATAATAAACACGTACTAGTCGAGTAGGTTCGGGAACTCTGTAGATGGAACACAGCTTAACAACAGCTAGAGCAGATTCCAGTGAGCATCGATGACCTTGGGAGACAAAAACTGGATTCTTTGCAGCATTACAAGTCTTCAGTGCCTTTTAAAAATGAATGAAACCGTTCTGAAGCATATTACTTTGTCTTTTAGTCTTTCAGGAAAATACTTAACATTTACATGAGCTAGTACTGATAGAAAAATATTTAATAAAACAAAGAATTAGCCAACCATGTGATTCGGTTGAAACCACGATATTTCTTACCAAATACAAAGTAAACATGATGAATAATTTACTTTGGTTTATATATAACTTGTAGAATGTTAAGCATTGTAGCTTTATGATGCCTTTGTACTTGAAGATGGGGTTTTAAGAGCAAACTAATGTATAAAATTAATGAATGAAACAGTTACAAGTCATCATATTTATCAACGAAAGATTTCAAACATTGTGGTGATCCTCGAGTCAAAATTTTACATACATCATTAGTTCTAACAAGTTGCCACCTTTCTTTCCTGTTCCACTAACTATGATGTTTTACAAGCTTAAACTCAGCTCTTGATGTGTACGGAACTAAAACATCAAACTTACAGCTCCTAGGATATTTCCTGTAGTTCCGAGCAGATAAAAATAATCTCCTGCCTTATTCAAGGACTCGACCTATAAGAGACAGTGTACCGTGTAAGCCTGATACCAGTTGACTAAACCAATAAAAGTTTTTAACTGAATTTTAAAAATAACAAACCTTGTTTCACTAAAAACATTTTTGTGAGCATTTGTGATCTATTTAACATCATGAAAATTTTATTTTCCTTATATTCTTTTTCAAAATTTGAGAATAACTCAATCCATTGTTTAAGTATCACTAAATTTTAATGATTTTAAAATTTTTTATAGGAGAGACAAATATACCAGTATGTAGTATTTGTGTAAATAAATTCAACGTCTTAAAAATGGAGAATACTGACCAATTTACAAGCTGTTTTAAATGTAATATCTGATAAAATATTTCCACAGTTTTAACAGTGGTAAATAGGCTGAATGATGTAATAACTTAACTACATACAAAGGATTAGTGTTTAGGGAATTTCCAAATTTTGATTGAATTCAGAAAAATCGGGAAATAACGGTCACTCACAAGCTGTATTAAATTTATATTAGACGAACATCACATCAACTGATTAGTAAGCCACCGAATATGTAGCCCACCACTTCTCAAGATGGTCGCACATTGCATTAAGGCTCATGTTTTATTATTATAGACATTTGACAGTTCTAAATGAGCCATTATTTTTGTAATCACTCTGCAGAAACACAGA